TTCAAACAGACTGTTGTTCCATGTTTGTGTTTCGATTTCCTTATCAATTACGGAAATAAATCACTGAAATAAAGAGGCATTCTTCCTTATGAATGTCACCTTGATCACAATTTAGTTGATATTTGCAATTTGCATTCAAAACTTTCGATGGAATATGAAAGATATAACAAAAGTAAGTAGCTGTTAAAATTACGTGATGGTTTCTTTGAATGCCTTATCTAGAGAAAATACCTCTTCTCAATTTAAATATAATCATTCTGATTGTGACAATTAAAATATAATTATTCTTCAACTGTCTTGACGATCCATCTGAATAATCATTATGAAACAATGTTTCAGGCTAAAAAAATGCTTCCCTTAGAAATAGGATGCCTAGGGTGGAGCTTACCACTTTAGCGCTTTAGCTAAAATATATTTGATACAAAGTACGGTTTTAATGAAGAATCTGACGACTGTTCTATCAAATCCTCATTTTCTACAGTACTAAAATCTGAAAGAATAGCATCGCTGAAACGACTTTTAATCCAATAAAATCTGCCACGGTTTCATTTAAAGTACTTTTCAAAATAAACGCTCAGTTGAGTTAATTGTCTTCGAATTTCAGAAGCAATAAATTCAGTAAAATTTATTTCATTGCTCTTGATAAACCCTACAGAATTGAAGAAGGAAATTTTGTAAACGAGTTGCTTTCCAGGCAGACTAAAATTGCTAAATGCTTCCTAGGCAGACTTTAATTCAGCATGTTCGTCTTTTCAAAAATATTTCAGAGATGAGGACATACCCTGAAACTTGCCCACAAGGAAACTTTAGTGAAGTGAAATATTAAATTGGTCTGAAAAAATAAAACTGATTTTACTGATAAAAAATCAGTGAAACTTAGCTGTTGAATTCTTATCAACAATTCATAAAACTTTTGATGAATATTAAAATTTTGATCGTGTCAGAAGCTAGCTTTCTGACAGAATTCAGGAAATTCGAAAACCGAAAATATTTTTACATTGCGAATTACTTTTACATTTTTAACTTTATACATATAGTTCAGAGGCTACATTTTAATAATCACGAAACATTTATAGATGAGCAAACTCGTGTGAAATGTTTAGTGCATTGCTATTGCGATGACTGTTCTCCTTTACAGGAAAGGCTTCTTTAATATTTCATAACATTTGCACCCTACATTTCGAAATTATGAAACTTTAATTACATTAGGGACTACTTATTAATAACGTATATACATATTTATAGAAGAGTGAACTGCTGTTTCCTTCTAATTTGCGTCGTCTCTGTAATGAGGGAACGCAGGACAACGCGGGCAACATGCGGACTCTCACATTTCCAACAGCATCCCATGCCATCAAATCAGTTACTGGCTTAGTATGTCGATGAAAATGCAAACATTAAGCATTCGTACCCACTGTTACTGCAGACAAACATACTAAATAGCGATCATAAAGCAGTAAAGATAAGCGGGATTCTCCAGAAAAAGCGATTTCATGTCATTTCTGTGCCATGTGTGTCATCCAGTGTAACGTTGTAAGCATCCAATCCAGGGCTATTTTGTCAAAGGAAGCCAAAATAATGGTAATTTTGCTGATGAAGTGGTGCACTACAGATATCATCGCCTGATACTTGGAGATACTTGTATTTGGAAATCACACCCAATTTCCTGACCTAGGTAATGGAATGTGGCTCTAATATACCTAACAAAGTGGGCAGGATATCGGTCCTCTTTAAGCTAAGGTGAGTGGGGATTATTGAGATCCCGCACATTACTTTGTGTGGCTGCTCTGGACCTATCGTTTGCAACTTCTCGTAACAGACATTGTATCTAGACTATCGATAGCGGTAGTTGAGAAGTAGGATTGTCCTCTGTCCTGGAGGCTACAATTCTCTCGAGGTTGATATGTGAGACGTGCTAGTATGAGTTCCTTCTTCTTACACGACACGCAATATGACCTCCAACATAAAAAACAACGCGATTTCCAAGTGAAGCTTAGCATTTGCTTTTTTTATATTTCTCTGATACTTCTGTATTACTCTTGACTGTAATATATGCATGATGCGAAATTATTTGCATACCCGAACATGTACTACCTTTCATGCAAATTTCAAGTTTGTTATGCAAGCATCTGATTATTTTATCTCCTGCATTCAAATCCGTTTTCAAAGATTATTTTATCTTATATAAAGCATACGAACTGAAGCCCTAATTTGACGATATATGCAGAACACTTCCAAAGTTTGGAGACATTGATAATTTGAAGGTAAAAACATTCTTTTTCATTTTTTACAGATTCATTGGTTTCATTTATTCATTTTTTAGGAAAGGAGATAGTAGGATTTGACGCTTGATTAACTTAATATCTTTTTATTTTGAACTTTCTCTTTGAGCTTACTCACCACAAGTTCCAGACACAGAAATTACTCTCCCATTACATCCTACTTAACAGGCAGAACCTTTGTCCTTTGTGTTTCTAACACATACTTTTCTAGCCGCGTTATATATATCGCCGCATTCCACAGGATCTAGTGCTGCCTCCACCTCTGTGACTATCACCATATCTTCCGCCGAAACTATTGCTATTGTCCCATCCGAAATTATCATCATATCTAGCAGCATACGTATTTTCAGGCCAACCTACGATATTCATATTGCACTGCTAGCTGAAAAATATTCAGCTTTCGCATCAAAGTCTTTATTATGTGGCAACAGCCTAGTGCGAGCAACTGTATTACCTCAGTTTTATGGCCTTCTTCCATTCAAAGCTTAACTCACAGCGATCTTAAGCATATCAAAATTATATGACTTACCGACGTACTAACCTAAAATGCTTTTTCGCTGCATAAACAAGTTCAGTGCCTTTTCAGTGCAGACGCTATTATACAGACCTTGTTTCGATCAACAACTACGGGTTAGACAAAATAATTCTCAAGCCCTCTACAAAACTCAATAGCGAGTTTCTTCCATAAAATCTAACGGTGATTTATGCTTATATAGTATCTAACATTTACACGAAGCCTTCGATGGGACTTAGCGGTGTACCACCAACCTGCAGTCATGCAAGGGTTAAGCTCAAGTTTGTACTATCTTTCTGCATAATTTGATATACTCGTTGCATGACACTCTATGGTTATTCTATTGCTTTAAATTACCAAAATCTCCCTAAGTAACCGTAAAGTCTGTTAAGCGTCCTATTGTCTCGTTCACCTCCTAACTAAATATAAGAAACCCAAAGTAGAAAGCCAGAAATAAAAGCTATTTATTAACACGTAAACGTAAAGGTCACACAACCTCAGAAAAACTACAGAATTCTGCTGCTTGTGGGATATTCAGAACACATGCAAATTAAATTTAATGCAAAATTCAATATCAACACGCCTGCTGAAACCTTGGCACAGCCGGAGAAGCAGAGCAGCGAGCAAAAGTTTCAATCGGTAAGTTTAATATAACCAGCAAAGAAGTTGAACAGTTAATTTCGGCCTATGATGCTAAGCTTTCGCTATTTACACTTTAACTAATTTGCCTTCAGGTGACAGATGACGAAAGTACGTGAAAAAAATGCAAAATAATAAGATAACTGAGTTAATTAGCATACAAATCTTGCAGTTTTATGTATCTGAATGCTTAGTATAATAGATGCAAATTAATTATTTACCAAGCGTTTCTGTAGGAAGCAGCCTCTCTGAACGGAAGTCAAATTAAATAAAATTATGTTTATTTACTTTTGAATATTTCTGCAATATAATAATACTTTTTTTTGCATTAACAGCAATCTTTTAACTTGGTACATATGGATATTTTTTAAATACATTTTTCTGTCTTAATTTTCATTTTTATACCATCAAAATCAATGCACTTTAAAAGAATATTAATACACTTTTGACTTTGCTTATATAATAGTAATAAATGAACACTTAAATTCAGAATTTTCTTCAAAATTACAATATGTTATGTTCCATGCTAAAACCTGTGATCCAAGAAACGTAAAAAAAAATCAGCATGCACAAAGGGTCGTTTGTGAGCCTTTCTGTACTTTTGCGGTACGTAGTTACATTTCTTTTATGCTTACAGGATCTAACATTTTGGAATTCTCAGTTAACTACATCATCATAACAGTACATATTTAAGCAATAACAATTTTTCAAAAAAGTAAATAAAAAGATCCGAAGTAAAATCAGTGCAATTTGTTCTAAACTAGCTGTATCTGATTATTTTGGTAACAGATTCTCTTAACTGACCCATTTCTCCGTCTTCAGAGATTTTCCTTTTCCAACGATCCAAAGAGAGTTCTATAAAACTTGCAATCAGAGGAAATCTAGAAGAATTAAAATCTCTTTCTTTACAAAATCCAGATTACATTTCTTACCCAAATTTACAAAATATTTTATACTTGGCACTGGAGATCGGTTTTCCGCTCTCTTCATTGGGAATCTGAAGCCAAATAAAATATTTACCCGAAACTTACATCGCAAATTAAGGGAAACAGGCAATAAATGCCCCTAGGACTTCAGGTAAATTTCTCTTTCAGGTACATGTCTATTATTGCACCCGTTATAGGAAATACTGACTAAGTTTTATATTTGTATTTGCAATGTTTTACACTGCTTGGAAACAAACATTTCTACCTAGTTCATTATATATGGAAGTAAAAATTATTATCTATTTTTGGGTAGCTTTTCCATATAACTCAGAAATGAGGGAAGGCTCAATGATGCTGAAACTAAAAGAAATATCTAGCAGTAAAAAGGAAGTAAGAGAAGCAGTAAGCAATTATTGCAATGCGGTTGTTGAGATCCATGAAAGTGCAATATTAGTATTCTAGTTAACCCAAACGATTACTGTATTAATGATGTAAAATTTGTTTCTAATATACTAAAAATAAGTTTAAAGATTAAGATCAAATTAAGTATGTATTTTCAAGACTTGTTGCCAAATAATGTTCATAAGGAAACATTAAACTTTAAAGAATAAAGATTATAAACTACAAAAAATGTCAGACTTTCAGGGTGAAAAACAAAAAATGTTTATTATCTCTTAGAAAAACTGATACAAAATATGTCAACACAGTTGCAATATGCTAGACGAACAAAGACACAGCACTAGAGGCTTCTGAAACACTCAACTTCGATTTAATTTTAATGCCAAATAAATGGTTTTAAACAGATATTGTCTACCTAGTATTTACAAAAAACTGAGAGTTAATCAATTAGTGTTGCACCGTATATATAACATTACTCTACATATACAATACAAAAGTCAGAAAAACACGACGTGCAGTTCATGAATTTGGAGCAGTATATGTTCTCTTTAAAATGAAAAACGAAACATTTATACGAACATCTTTACAGCAGGCGGTTTTCCTGATTGATGAGCATCTTATCCATAAAATTTGAAGAATAATATTCAGTTGCAATAGTGATAAATGATGAGGCACATTTTAGAAGTTTCTATGAGAACCATTTATTTTGCTTTGAAAATGAGACAGATTAAGGGATTCAGATTTCACGTACAATTATGGACGCCAAGCATAACTGAAGGAGATATTCCAGAAACTATTTATCTGCTATGTGTACGCCAAATAATTAGAACTGCTGCAGATCTTATGGATGATCTTGTACAGGTTAATGCGTCCAATTGTTATCAGCAAGGTTAATCTGCAGAGAAAAAGGTATCAATTTTAATAAATGTATAATAATTTATTATAACATTTAAACTAAGGTACAGAAATAGATGAGAAATTTTCAGTATTACTTAGAAAAGAGACATGATAACTTTAAAGTAAAAATAGAGCTGCAGGTACGAAATTTAATAAAAGCATGTAATGCTTATGTCAAAGATACATATATTTGATTTCAGGCATACAAAGATTAGCTAAATTACATTATCGTGAAGTGTGTTTTATGCTGACCGATTTACATTTTGTTCCAGTTAAATATTAATCTATATCTAGTAAACATTGCGCAGATAACATCTTTCATTGAAAGACTATTCGTTTAACTTGAACGGAAAAATATGATGGTATAGAAATTTAACAAAACTGAAAGAAAATATTAGCATTTATCTTAAAATTTTAAAATTTAAGTCAAAAAATACATTCTCTTCCAAAATTTGAAAAAAAAAATGTATGCATCTCGAAGAATGTAAGCTGCAGCCCTGAAACTCGGCATAAATATATCGTTCGGTGACGAATTATGCTCCTTCCCCTTATAATGTTTCCTCAGTACTTTCTCTGTGTAAAATGTAGAGGAACCTAGTGAATTAAGAAGCAACTTATCGCTAAGTTCGAGTGTTTAACTACAGAGTCTGAAGAAGGGTTAAAATACCCTTTTATTCACTCAAAGAAATAATAACAGACGAGACACAAATACCTAGCGTTTGTTGGCCCTTAATTTAACTTAGCCGGTGCTTATCAACAGTCACGTACAATACGGCCCAGCGTAGGAGATTTAAGAATGAAGTAGCCAGACGGCAAATACGCAACACTAAAGACTCCTAAGCACTCTCTCTCTCTCGAAATGCCACTGAGGACTCCTAAGCACTCTCTCTCGAAGTAAGTTGAACTTTTCTTAAATACTCCTTCTAATTCATAAAATGAGATACTAAAAACTCATTCTGGTGAGGAATGGTATATGGGGAACGAGAATAGACAATTAAGCGTATTTAAACTGAAAATAATTGTTGGAAACTTTAAGTAACCTCTACACCCTTTTAAATCTTGCTCCACTTATAGAGGCTATTAGGAATTTTATTTAGGAGTAAGACACGTGAAAATTGTGCATTACCGTCACCAGGATTCGAACTTCGCACTTTCTGATTGTTATCCGGACATGCTAGCCAAGTATAGCCCTAAGACATACGTCGAAAGCCTTCACTGGCTCCCTTAATATTTGATTCTTTACTAAGCGAATATTCATTCACGTATCAATTAATTAGATAAAATTAATTTAACTTTTGAAAAATTAATACTTATAAAGGATGCTCACACCTGTTGCAAATATTTCATTAGTGAAACACCCTAAGACGACCATTCTCTGTTCCAAATTATTCTGGTCTTTTGTCGAAGCAGTTCCTTAAAGAATATGACTACCAGTGATGCTCATTACGTTTATTGAATTATGTTAGAAATGCTGATGACGTTCAAATGTGGTAGTATTATGGGGGTATTCACCGTGAGAGGTTCCATTGCAGGTGCTCGGAAATAATGACCCTTTCAGAGGTGGTTGTCTTAGGGAGCCTGTCGTCGGGAGAAGTTTCACTGGAATTGAACTAAAACTTTCGGCTGACCAGATTGAGGTTCTCAAACAGTACGTTACATAATCCCACTACGCCAACTTCTAAATAATTCTTCTTTCGAAATTTTACTACGAGATGACTTTTCATAAGTATAGTTTCAATTTTTGTTTTATATAAATTGTAGACAAACTAAGGAAACAGAATCGTTGACAAAAAAGGTCCGTGAAACAAACTGAAATTTCAACCTCACGAAAGTGCAAATTGTACACAGCAATAAGTTTAGATGTAAGCTATGAGTCATGTATGTTTGCAGTGAAAGTTAATGAGCTTATAAAGTATTTTCTCACTGTTTTTTTTTCATGCCTTCGTGGTGTAACAGGAAGCACGCTCGAGGCGTATTCGGGAAGTTTGGAGTTCGAATCGCGAAGAGGGTGTTTCTTCCATTTCCTGACTTCGAAAATTACCTAATGAATTTACAAGTTACTTTTATTTCAGTTAATTCAATGTTGAACTGAGGCCTCAGATGTTAAAATTTCAAATATCGTGAGAATGCCGAGGGAAGCAATGGAAGAAAAACCTTCCAAGTAATGAAAAGCAGTTGTTATAGCTTAAAACGAAAGAACTGTATATGGAAGAAGATGACTAAAAGTGACCAGAGAGTAGTAATTTTAATGAACATCAAAAGAGGAAAATTATAGCTAGGGGAATAAATAGTCAAAGTAAATGTTAATAAGGAAGATCCGATGTTTTTATACCTAATAGTTCGTTGAGGTATCCAAGCAGTTTACTTATATAATTGTTGTTTACTGAAGACTTTCACTAGTCCACAAAGGGTATAAAATATGAAATTTTAACGACTGAATGAAAGTAGTTAAGTACAATAAGCTTTGACACATTTTTCTCATCACTAAAAATGTTAACAACTATTCTGATCGGTTGATCCCAATTTCTAAGTATGTAGAGTTCTAGACTATTATAGTCACGTAATTCGAAATATTGATATGGCCGAAATGTTATTACAGTTAGAACATTTCTAAGGACTCGCTTTTCATTTAGTGATAAATCTTTTCCACTATTTAGCTGTGGCTCCACTAGGATGACTTTTCGCTACGTCCTACGGACATCATTTTGATATCCTTTCTCAAGTCTGATAGAATAATATAAAATAACTACTTTAATGATCATAGTCACCAGATTTTAAATTATTAACCAACTATTATGGAAACATTTATGTTCTGTATAATGCAGAGGAGTGTTTCATAAACGTTTTAGCCCTTCGGTTCACATGCACAGAATTGCAGTTCATCGCAACTCATATGCTTATAACTCCGATTTATTGTGAATCACAACGTTTCGGTTGCTTTGATAAAGACAGGAAGTGAAAGAAGGGATTCGTAGAAACAAATATTGTAATAATGACAAAATAAGAACAAGAGATGTGTAACTATTAAGAATTGATTGAAAACTATAAATTAACCGAGAATTACCTTCAGAAGCACAGTTTGGGAACCATTGATACAGATACATTTCTAGACCATACAAATCCCAGCATCTTTTAAACTCTTGCAGTTTGAAAGATGCATAACTATTAAGAATTAATTGAAAACTATAAATTAACTGAGAATTACCTTCAGAAGTCAGTTTGGGAACCATCGATGCAGATACATTTCCTAGACCATGCAAATCCCAACATCTTTTAAACTCTTGCAGTTTAAAAGATTTTTGACCGGGGTTTGGTTCAGTAAGGTTTGTTTGATTACGGCAAATTATGTGCGAACTATTTGCCTGAGAGAAGGGATGCTTCTGTAGAGGACTTTCTAAGGAAACCTGGCCCATATCTACCTTGCACATAGGAAACACCAAATAAATGGGCATGTACCCAGTCCATTTGCTCGGATTTGAACGTTTTTGACAAATAAATTTGAAAAAAGAAGTACTTTTATTTGCGCATAGATCTTTATTTATTGAAGTATTGGTATTCTAGGAAACTACGCTATTTTAACTTCTGATTAAACGAAATAATTCAACACGCTGTTTTCAACATATTGTCTATTACCTTAGATTACAAAGTTACGCCTCTTTCACAGCTGCTTTCTTTTCTCGTTGTGTGAGCTTATCTCGGCTGTATGCATTAAGAATTTTATACAAACATGATGCCATTTTCGATAGCCTATATTGCAATATGGTTATTTCTCATGACGTGATATAACTGCAGATCAGACTTTATACAAAGTTCATAAGTGAAATTCTGATATATCATATACACGACAATATTTGCCTCTAAATTCACCTGTACGGAAATTGAGATTATTACGAAAGGAATATGTATACCCATATACTACACATCTAACAATATACTTGTGCAGAGATAGTGATTATTAATTAAAGGAAAATGGCATAAAATCCCTCATTTTCATGTTGCTCCAAGTATTTTATTAGAATCATATACACGGCAATATTAGCCTCTAAATTCACCTGTACGGAAATTGGAGATTACGAAAAGGAATATTATACCCTATACTACCATCTACAATCTAAAATTATTAAGAAAATGGAGAGGATAGTGATTATTAATTAAAGGAAAATGGCATAAAACTCCCTCATTTTCATGTTGCTCCAAGTATTTTATTAGAATAATTGAAATTCTTCTGAACAGTGAGCAGCATGTAATAATTTAATTCTACGTGAAATTTTTGTGACAACATCGGTCATTATTTTAATTTAGGGATAAATTTTACACTCATTATGTGTGATTTAATTGAAAACTCTTGTCAACATGCAGATATTCGTCATATTTGATTTCAGCTTTGTGAACAGTTTACAAAAACGATAAAAACGCCATGAGATTTCTCTAAATAACAACCCTAAGTTTTGATCTACATCTTCGAGTATGATTAGCCACATGAATATTTTATTAAACTTACTCAAAAACATTTTTAGCCACAAGAATATTTTATTGCATTTATGAACAGCATAGTATTACTGGACGTTCAGCTGTAGCAAAGGAAAGTCTGTGAAACTTTTCTTGCAGCAATTATGAATTTAAAACGAGTATTAAATTTCTTTTACAAATTTTACGTGATGTATAAAAAACTTGTAGGTTGTTATTTTGTCTGCGGTACGCGAATTTTTATTCATTATTACAATTTCTTCTGTTTTTATATTGACGTTTTGAAAAGTTTACGTATAATGCATACCATATTTTCTACATAACTATTCCAGTTCCATCGTCTCTGAATTTTGAACTTTGGATACATTATCAAGTATTCCTAATTTTGAAACAAAGTATACAATAAAAACAAAATAAGTGATCTGAAGTTTTATTAGGGCAGCAGGCATTAAAATTACGCTTTTACCGATAACGGTATTTATGTGGATAGATCTAATAGCAGATATCTTTGGTTGCATAATTTTTGACATA